TAAAATTTATGTTGCATTGCTCGCTTGAATACAGCCCCGCCGCACTGCGTCTCGTCGCGTCGCGTAGCGTCTCCGCGGTGTAAATCAACGCTTAGGAACGTGGAAATTATAGTTAACTAAGACAGAATGGAAAATAAAGTGTGATTTATTCCTGGTCGAAAGTTTCACTACAAAGAACACCCACCACTAAAAACAAATAATTTTTTTACGTAAAGTTCACATTAACTAGCATTTTGAGTGTAGTTTTAGTTACATGCTTTTATATACAAAGTATGAACTTTTATTTTACACACAAAATTAATTACCCACTTCACAAAAAATATAAAAATTATCAAATACAAATGGGTTTGTAACCGGCCTTATTTCCAAAGATGGCCGTCACTGGGCGGCCGTACCCGCCAGCTTTTTTCATACAAAATTACGAAACTCGGAAATATCAATGAATCCTGCTTGTAATGAAAACGGAATGTGTTATTCTAGTGTAAAATTGATTTTAAATTTGTAATATAATATTATTTTGTAGAAAATGGAATCAATATTTATATAATGTAATCATGAACAGGACCGGCAATGGCCTGATTGAGTAGCATTAAGTTTCGAAGCTGCTTTCTTTTAGAAATATTTATGTTAGATTATGTCTTATTCTACGACGTAATTATATTATCAAATAATTAATCAAATTCATAAAATAACGCTACTTACGGTATGTTTTCAATAAATAAACACCGAAATTACCAGCCCAAACAATAACTCACGCGATTGTCGTGACGTATTTTTGAAGTTGTTTATTTTTTTTTAATGACAGACACAGGCATGAAAAGCTTTATGGTTTGCTACAGTAGTAGCAATTGATATTAGTTCTTTTACCTGTTATAACTTCGATGTCCGATAAATCGGTATAAAATCATCACCATCACAGGTGTGCTACGCTTCCAGAGCCGCAAGAATCGCGCACGCTCTGTGGCAACATGCGTCCACGGCTGCATGTATCGCGTGAGCGGAAGGAAGTATTGGGTAAGAAATTGCATGGGTACGTAAGTAGGTACTCAATTCGAGAGTTACTGGAGACATTATGAAGTGATTATATTAATTTTGGCAAACAAAGGGCCTAGTAAACCATAAATGGCCATGTATAAGTACCACAGTTACGATTGGAATAACTTATCTTCACGTCTTTTATAGGTATGTTGAAGTACATATTTATCAGACTTGCGTAAGCAGTCGTTAGGTACGATATATACCGGGCATCGATTTTATTACCAGAAATAGAGAAATGTCATTTAATTTGTTTGAAAATTATTCTGCCGAATCATTACGGTGACATCTGCGCTCCGATTGGCCAGCCCGAATTTGAAACAATTGACGACACCGGTCAATTGTTTAAAATGTTTTTCCCACACCACCAAATGGAACAGCCCCCCATTGTTACAGATATTATCTTTATTACAATAAATACAGAATATTTTTAAAATATACGGAGACGTACATACAGGTCAGTTGTGAGCGCTGTATTAGTTATTTCAGCTTTCTAATTTGTGATTTCAGCGCAAACGAAAGTTGAAATTTAAAAGTGATATAAAGGCCCATTTGCCTGATGAGTTGCCAGGGATGGATGGCCCTTATTTCGTCTCTATTTTTGGTTATATACTCGATGATACCGGGCTGTTTATAAATACTAACAACCCTTTTCTTTTTTTTTTTAAATACTAGCAACCTGACTGGACATATATTATTACTAACATCGTAAACAACAACTTTTGTTTCCTGACTTTTAATAATTCATCAGATTTTACTTTCATACAAAAATAAATATATTTAATCGTTCGCTCGAAACGGTAACAACTCAGTGCAGGACGAGGGTGGGAGTTGTCGCGGAGGAGGACGCTTACACGTTTGAACTTTACTATCAAATACACATCTAAAAAGTGTCAGATAGTGTAACAAAAACGTAGTATAACTTTGGAAATTTATTATGGTTTGTAAAAAGTCAAGGAACAAAAGTTGTCATTGTTTATGATGTTAGTAATATAGTCCTGGTAGTATTTTAAAAATAACACCCTGTATTTACGATATTCAAAGTTACACTTTTATATTATGGCGCACAAAAATAAATAAAAGTATCATTATGAAATGAAACTATTTTTTCGAATTTAAATTATGCGTATATGTGTTTTTTTTCAAACATAGCAACCTTTTTGGCCCTTTATAGGCACTATGGCCACGGCTGACAGAGATGGTAAAGTCATCATGAAGATATCTCAGATTAAAAGTAACATTATTGTTTATAAAACCAAACATACGCGATTTGAATCCGAAAAAATAAATATAATACCAACTCTATAAAAATATTTTTTGTTAAAGAGACGGTTGCACGATTCATTTAGAGTGATTGAAATCAGAAAAGGAAGACACGTATTGTAATTTACTGCCGTTTATTTTATACACAAATCGATAAACATAAGTAGTTGTTGTTAGTAATTAACCAAAGGAAAATTATGTGACCAAAAACCAGGTCAATGGTACCCGTGACCGACGAGCGTGTATGAAGGCATTGATGCGTACTGAGAAGCGTAAGATTAGCGTGTCAGGATCGTAGTAAGCGGACGGTTGTGGTCTCTGCCTAGAATTAATAGTCTTCTTTGTTGTTTAATTTGTGTATAGTTACTTTTATAAGTAGAATATTTTTATTTTTATATTTATAGACACAGGCGCTCAGGAATAGAATGTAACTCAATTTGTATGGAGAGTTTTATTTTTCTTATTGATATTAGGTGACGGGACGAACAAGTCGTGCGCCTAGTGTTAAGGGTCGATACAACCTCAAATGGCTTTGGTTGATTCCGCATAACAATGAAAGTATTGAATCAATCACTTCGGAAAAAATGTATAGTAAAATTAAGTACGTACACTGATTAGTATACGATTTTTTTCACGATAGAAAAAACACAAACTTACCTCGAAATTTTACAAGAAAACCGCTGTATTCAATAGGTACTTTATACATACCAATGATCTTTTTTACATCAACTGATCTAAATAGAACACGTATATTATACGATACACATTTTTCAAATGGATTTAATTTCGTTTGTAAAAAAGTTAATTCTGAAATAAAGCCAGTGTCCGTAAAAAATAAACCGTACTGGTACGGGAAAAATTTTAATTCGGGCTGAAGTAGTATCGACTTTTAAGTCCCGACTTTACAATCAAATAATGTGTGAAAATCGTAAAAGTTTACAAGTAAACCGCTGTATTTAATAGGTACTTAATATATACCAACGATTTGTATAAATCAACTGAAATAAACAGAACACGTACAGTATACGATATACATTTTTCAAATGGCTTGAGCTTCGTTTGTAAAAAAATAAATTCTGAAATAATGCCAGTGCCGTCTGCCGCTCGACCCAAGCAAAATGAACTGTGATAGTATCGACTCTTAAGCGACACGCCTGTCCATGACAGTTGCAGTACCACTCAGAGGTTTAAATCGCAAAGATCTGAGGGCTGCCATTCTCACAATCATAGCCATTTCGGTGACCTCAACCTAATTACCGTAGCCATTGTTTTTCCTCACTTTATATACCCAATAACATTGAAATATGAACAACTTTAAGCTTAACTATCAATATCACAGACAAGTTGACAAGTCTCATTTGCCAGTAATTTCACCAGCACCCTTACCTTTCAAAACCAGAACGCAGTGATAGGTAAGGTGGTAGTACTTCCCTGGACGAACTCTTTCACAAGGTACACTACTGCTACTAAAGTTCAACTTATATGGTTCAAAAGTCCAATTTCAAAGCTATTTAATAGTAAAAACAGTAAATTGAGATTGTTTTGAAACATGTACGTGTACGTACATTCAAGGTTTTCTAAATACAGCGTTTTAGCTTTTGAATAGGTATAAAGGAAAAACCAAAATGTTGTTACTATTAATTTATATTATTGATGTAATTGCAAACACTTAAATTAAATAACAGGTAAATATGTGTAACTATTCTTCACAAAGAAGTTTTCTATTTTGAATCGAATCATCCTTGTAAGAATCTAAAGTTATAAAAATAATAGCTCTGTTTACAACTTGACGAGCCAAGTATTTTTTGCGTAAATACTTGTCAAATCAATTAAAGATGCTTAATAACCTGCCGATAAAAAAAAAAAAACATTTTTTCGCTAATATAATACGGCTAGATCGTTTCTATAGAAGACTTACGTAAGTTTGACATATTACAAGATTTCTGCAAACACCTTCGCTAAAAGTGTGAATAAGTTTAGCGAGCGTTTATCCAGCAGTTCACCTCAAGCTAACTAGATGGCGCCTAGTAATCGAAAGAAGATACTGCTCGTCTTCAAGAGATGACAGAAACTTAAAAAATAGAATGGCATAAACGTTTAGGGTCGTATTCCAAAACTCTACTCAATTCTCCAGTGAGGACTTGAGTATGATTTTAAGCACTGGAAAAACGACCCTAATGGGAAGGACTTGAGTATGATTGCTAATGCTTTAAATCATACTCAAGTCCTGACTTGAGAATTGAATAGAGTTCTGGAATACGACCCTAAATCATTCAAGAGTGAAGGTTGTTACAATACATTATGGTAAAATGCTCTCGGTATCATACGTAATTGTATTTGAATTAGGTAAGTTCCTATTACAAGTGATAACAACATTATTTCAAGCTGCTGGCTGTCAAGTTGAAATTAAATCTTAAATGATAAACATTGGATCCTGATTGTGTAAAGGACCATGTCATGCATGTTTTAATGAGATAGCAGAGAACAAAACGATAGATTTCGGTATAATAGACGTATGTACTTCCACTATACACATACTATTCCACCATTTCAAACATTTCCGTGTTACGCCATCTAGTGTCGAATAGTTGCATGCAAAATAAGTTCAAAATGGTTGGTGTAGGTATATTTCATTGAAAATTTTAAATTGGATGCATTTCCTAAAACGAACGCATCCATTTACCATGACAACTGTCATGACATGAGTTGACAACGTAGTGTCAAATACGTGGCCCAGGGAAAGAAAACAAGCTTATGTTCACGTTTATTTACAGAAAAATATTGTTTTACTTAAATACATAGCATAATTAGAAACAATGGAGTGCTCACAGAAATATTTATATGTAGCGACAGTGTTACTAGCTGTTTTATTGAGTAGTGCGAACAGTTATACCATCACTGTCGATGCTCACGAAGAACAGTGTTTTTTCGAGAATGTAGAGGCCGATACTAAGTTGGGTAAGTAATTCCAGTATTCTAGGATAGTTTTCTGTAAGCCTTAAATGCGTCTCATGTATAATATTCGAATTACTATAACATAACCTAAAGCCATCTTATTAGTTTAGTTGACACTTTCTTATTACTAATATAGATATATATCTTTTATTTTTGGTATGAAATACTTCATATACTACAGTAATAATAATAATTTACTTATTATCCATTTTTCTCTTACATGTAGACATAGTGCAAAACTAGATAATGATAAAAAATACTTTTTGCAACCTAGGACATTATTTATTGTTACCAATCATTTATAATGACATATAATATAGTATGGTGTCGTGGCTTGATATCTGTCGACATTGTAGTGTCTGTTTTATTAAACGTAGACTAAATGCTACATAGTATGTAGCATTTTCTCTATGCTTAATAAATGTGATAAAAGATTGTAATAGCTATTAGGCAGGAGGCAAATTAATTTAAATAATGTTGTGTCCAATGTGCTTTAGTACATCATTAACACAGAAATCCTTGAACGCCTGAAAGTTACTACAGTCAACAAAGAAATTGCCCACTCAACACAGAGATACCAAGATAGGTTGGCGAGGTACCCTAAGGCACCGGCATCACAGCTTGTGACTCGAAGCTTTAGTAAACGAAAAAAGAAGGAAAGACATTCTGTAGATCAGGAAATTCCAGGAGGAGATTTGCTGAAGGGACACACCACACATGCCATTGCATCTGGAACACATTTGCTTGTTGTGGAATGCACTGATTGCAAATGAAACACACAAAAAAAAATAGTAATGTTAATAAAATTATTGTTCTTGTTAACAGGGCTAAGTTTCGAAATAGCAGAAGGTGGCTTCCTAGACATAGATGTAACAATCACAGGCCCCGACGGGGCAGAGATATATCGTGGGGAGCGGGAGTCATCAGGAATGTACACATTCTCCGCACCAGTATCAGGACGTTACACATACTGCTTTAGCAATAAAATGTCTACAATGACCCCTAAGGTAAGATTATTTTCACTCATCTACAATCACTTTAATCAGACTTATTATTGGTTTCCTAAAAAGAGGCATCATTGTTTATTGACATTATTTTAAATCTGGGATAAAGTATGTAAAGTGGAAGAACATAAGAAATGCAGCATAACTCTAGAGTTGTGACTGACATAAATATAATACAGAATACAGAAAGTGTGCTGGGCCCCGTTCCCTAGCTACACAGTAATTATAACTTTTATAGTTTTGTTTTTATGATTTTCTAATTTATTTATTATAAATTAGTTATGTACTTTGTAGTCCTGTTTTAAGTACTTTTCAATGATTACTTGTTTGTTTGATTTTTGGTGTCATAAATAAATTAAATTAAAATAATTAAAATTGTTTTTGAGAGAATATATATTTTCCATTAAACATACATTAATGAGGTTTCTATTAAATTTTTTTTCTATGTGTTGTTTCCTTGACCTGTTATTATGTTATCTTAGAATAATTTCATGTAACTCTGGACATGAGTTATCTACATTTTACCCTTCGGAAGTTCCTTCTGTATGATGATTTTAAGACTTTCAATAAAAAGTCATACATTTTTTAAAATACACCTGTAAAAAATAGTGCTTAGAATGGTTCAACTATATTAATACTATTTTACATCTCATAGACAGAGGAAACATCTGATAATTGTCTTTTATAATAATTTTGTACCCACTCAATCAAGTACTTTCACTAATATACTTCAAATTTTGAGGTAGATGTTAGCTTAGTAGACTCTTCACGATCGTTTTTCAGAGTAGCATACATAGTCAAGTGATTATAGCTAGTGAATCCTAGATAAATGGTGTTCTGTACTATATTACCAATTGCTGATTATAAAAAAAAATTAAATGGTCATGCAAAGTAATTGTACTATAAAATTGATTTATTATCGATTATGTAATAATAGTAAGTAAGCTAATGCTATATAATAATTGTAATAAATCATTACTAAAATTATCTAATCAATGCAGTGATTAAATAGTAAGTAATTAGGTACAAAAATATTTTATTCATGTCAGTTGTAATAATATATAAATAAATGCTTTTTAGAAATAATTAAATAATTATAAAATTCTTCAATAATGATGTGTTAGTTATAAATACAGAATTATCTGTTTGAAATATTTGGAGTCCATTTTGTTCAGACAGCAATAGAACAAAAGTTTGGGCGTTTTGGGGGCTCCACCTACATCTTGGAGCCCAAGCTAACCTCACCTGCAGGTGGTGCGCCTGCTGATAGACGGACGAGGCTCTAGCGAGGGGTTTTCCCTTTCGGGGGTTGGGAGGTCAGACGGCAGTCGCTCCCGTAAAAACCAACACAGCCACATCAACTTATGGAAGTCAACAGAAGTATATGGCATAGGGATAGGGCGCCGCCGCAAAACGGCGCGCAGGAGCCTCGCCCGAGTCTTGTGGCAAGTGGTCTAGGGCTACCGTGTCAAGGGTGGGCACGGTTAAAGAGACGAGCCCCTACCCATCACAGGAAGCTCCGCTTTGCCACGTGGAACATTGGCACGCTGACTGGACGCACGAGGGAGCTAGCAGACGTGCTTTCCAGGCGGAGGGTCGCCGTGGCGTTCCTGCAGGAGACTCGGTGGAAAGGCAGCAGATCCCGGCTTATTGGGAATGGCTACAAACTGATCTACACCGGTGCTCCTGGGGGCGTGAACGGGGTGGCCGTGGTGCTCTCCGAGGAATTTCACGATCACGTCCTGGAAGTGAAACGCTTTAGCGACCGGCCTATGGTAGTGAGGGTGCTTATTGAAGGGGTCGTGACCCACTTGATAAGCGCCTACGCACCTCAGGCCGGTTGCAGCGACACGGGCAGGGCGAGGTTCTGGGATCAACTCGGGGAAATACTGAGTGCCATTCCTTTGTCGCAGGCAGTCGTCTTGGGTGGCGACCTGAGCGGTCATGTGGGTGAGGCGTGCGAAGGGTTCGAGCGGGTCTGCGGTGGCTACGGGTACGGCAGTCGCAACGCGGAGGGAGGAGACATCCTCACAACGTGTGCGGCGGCCGACCTCGCCACCGTGAACACGTTCTTTAAAAAGAACCCCGAGCATTTAATCACCTACAGGAGCGGCGGACACGCCACCCAAATCGATTTCCTACTCACCAGGAGACACCATATCAGTAAAGTGGCCAATTGCAAGGTCATACCAGGTGAGAGTCTCACTGCGCAACACCGCCTTCTTGTCATGGATCTCTGCGTAAAGCCGGCCGACAAGCCCGCTGAGCGCTGCCGACGCCAAATCAGATGGTAGCGGCTTGATAGTACCACGTCTCAGGAGTTCATCTCAGCGATCGGCGATAAATGCGCCGACACTGAAGGTGATCTAGTCCAGAACCACTGGGACAACATTCAGGCTGCCATATCTGAGGCGGCGAAAGCGGTGCTGGGCTTGTCCAAGGGTGGTCGCAAATGTGACTAAGAAACTTGGTGGTGGAACGACACAGTCCAGAGAGAGGTGAGGGTGAAGAAAGCCCTCTTCAAAACGTGGCAAGCGTCCGGATCTTCTGAAGACCGCGATGCATATAGGGATGCCAAACGTGCCGCTAAGAAAGCTGTAGCCAGAGCCAGACGGGACCACTTGCAGCCGTTGTACGACAAGTTGGAATCGTCTGAGGGGCAGAAGCTTATCTTTAAGCTGGCACGTTGGAGGGTCTTAGCGGCACAAGATATTTCCAAGTGTCGCTGCATTAAAGACTCTCATGGCAACCTTATATGCGAGGTCGACGCAGTGAAGGAGAGATGGCGCTCATATTTCCACGAGCTGCTGAATCAGCAGCACAGAGAGGTGCAGCCACCGGTCCTCCCTCCGAATCAGGGACTAGTGCGACCGGTAACGCCTGAGGAAGTCCACTTAGCACTTCGTCGAATGAAGAATCGGAAAGCTGTCGGAGCCGATGGGGTTCCCATCGAGGCCTGGAAGGCAATGGGTCCCCGTGGTGTGGGCATCCTTACCGACCTCTTTAATCGCGTGCTCCTCACTGGTAAAATCCCTAACCAATGGAGACTGAGTATTATCACTCCAGTCTTCAAAGGGAAGGGATCGGTGCAGGAGTGTGGCAATTATCGGGGCATAAAGGTCATGTCCCACACCATGAAGCTCTTCGAGCGTATAATAGACTCTCGGATCCGACAGGAGAGTGCTGTCTTGGAGGGTCAATATGGGTTTCGGCCTGGTCTTGGGACCATGGATCCTGTTTTTGCCCTAAGGGTCATCATGGAGAAATACAGATTGAAGAATACGCCTCTGCATTTCATGTTTCTTGACATGCAGAAGGCCTTCGACTGTATCCCCCGTGTAATGATCTGGTGGGCACTGAGATCCAAAGGGGTACCAGAAGCTTATATTGACATCATCCGAGACATGTACCGCGATTCCGCTGCTGTTGGTGACACTAAACCCTTCCCTGTCACAGTCGGAGTTCACCAGGGCTCAGTTCTCAGTCCCTATCTGTTCAGCGTGATATTAGACGAGGTCTCAAGCTCCATCCGAGACACGCATGAGCAACCCCCGTGGATGCTTATGTACGCTGACGATATTGCGCTGGCGGATGCGGATAGAGGGAGACTGGTACGACGAGTGAATGTGTGGAAGGAGTCGCTTGAGAACGGCGGTCTGAGACTAAATGTGGCGAAGACTGAGTACATGGTCTGCAACGCTACAGATCCCCTACCCGTTCGCATAGGCGAAGACGCGGTCGAGCCTACGGGCCAGTTTAAATACTTGGGATCTGTACTTAGCGCGTCCGGAGACATCGACTGCGACGTCAGAGCCCGAATCGCAGCCGCTTGGGCAAAGTGGCGTGAGGTGACTGGTGTCATTTGTGACCCCAAGATTTAAGGGTTAAGCTGAAAGGACAGGTCTATAAATCCATCATTAGGCCTGTCCTTTTATATGGCAGTGAAACGTGGCCCGTACTTGAGCGCCATAAGCAGGAGCTGCGTGTCACGGAAATGAAGATGCTGCGCTGGATGTGTGGAGTTTCACGGAAAGACCGTGTCAGAAACTCCCGCATCCCCGGCAGCCTTCACGTCCGTGACATTGCAGATAAACTGCAAGAAAGCCGCCTACGTTGGTACGGCCACATCTTACGGAAACCGGCATGCTACGTGGGAAACAAATGTCTGGCTATGCCACCTCCGCCGGGCCCCGGTAGAAGGGGTAGACCCAAGAAGTGCTGGCTTGACGTCGCCAAGGGTGATATGCGTGCCAATGGTCTCACCACTAAGGATGCCGAAGACCGCGCAAAGTGGAGGAGAAAAAGCAGGAAAGCGGACCCCGGGCTCCGCAGCAACACTGCTGAGGACGCAACCGGGACAACGCGCAGATGAGAGAGAGCAATAGAACAAAAGTAATGTTTATTTATTCAAAATGTATTTAATAGCTCTCAAATTTTGCTAAATTAATTCAATCAAGACAGGCGTGTTTGCATATGTATATCATATAAGGTTTATGGATTATTAGACACATAAATTCAAATAATTGTTTATTTAAAAACAATTTTAGACAAAGCTAATTAATATATTATATAACTGCTTCTGTGGCCGAGCCGGGACTTTTACGTAACGACCGTACTACTTTGCCACGCAAATGTCCCGGTTTCGATTCCTGGGCCGGGATAAATATTTTTATGGTCTACATTTATTTCTGTCGTGAGTTTGGGTGTAATTTATAGTTGTGTATGTGTGTGTCCATGGCACCCGCGATATTCTCTACTGCGGGGCTATGAGTATGTGCGTTATTATTATTACCACATCACACCACTAATGGTCGACATAGGCTTAAATGTTGTTGATTGATCCTGTCCAGGGGGTGCGACATTTGAAAAAAATCCTGAATTAAGCATATAAACTACACTAAATATAAAAAATACGTGTTTTCGATTATTTTTTGTGGTGGAGGGCGTTGAAATTTTTTTATTTTGCCTAAGTGGGCGGTGAGCCAAAAAGTTTGAGAACCTATGAAACAGACTGTAAAATTTGTAAAAGAGAATTAATAACAACAACAACTATGCCATAATAGCTATACTATTGTTTACGTTGAGCAATATAATAGAAGGTTCTTCTTCTTTGTCATATCGATGGCATACACCTAAACCTCTAATGCTTGCCGTCGTGGTGAAATGATTTGCCAATCTACGTAACGTACTCCAGAATGCGCCTAACTTACAGGGATGGAATGATATGTCATGCGGGGAGGCTCCTTTAGTGCACCCTACGAGAGGGTAATAATTTAATAACTCCATTACTAACAATAGCGAGCGCCTCGTGTTACTTTAATTTTTCTTATATTTCAGCATAATTTATATTACAAATAATTCAAAAAATATCTTTGTCAACAGGTAGTAATGTTCTATCTAGAAGTTGGGGAGGCGCAGCACAAAAAAGAGGGGGAAAAAGAGGGTGAGGTGGACCACAACAAACTTGAAGATATGATTAAGGAGCTGGCCACTACACTAACAACTGTAAAACATGAACAGGAATATATGCAGGTATTGTAACAGTCATCATTACCATTGTTGTTTAAAATTAAGAAAACAAAGTCTAACACAGATTAACATAGGTCAGAGAATCTCAACAACTATAAACTAAATAAGCTGTTTATATTTTTTTATTATAAATATTTTTATTTCAAACTATTATGCATAAATTTATAGTGCAGTTGTTTTTTATTTTTTAAATTTACCTGCAATCATTGTCACCCTATTCGATCCAGTAGTAACTTCTTTTTTATATACATAAAATGAAAAGCAATACACATAAACTGGTATGAAACCATTATTATTGGTTGCATAACTTTTCTTTAGCCATTGCGCGTCTAGCAGTAAGTGCACATGTGTATTTTGATCATCTAACTCAATTTCATTATTAAAAATAAATTAATTAATTTCCTACCTCAGGTTCGTGACCGGATCCATCGCTCAATAAACGAAAGCACCAATTCTCGCGTAGTTATGTGGTCGATCTTCGAAGCGAGTGTTCTTCTCGTCATGACTGTAGGTCAAGTATATTACCTCAAAAGATTCTTTGAGGTACAACGTGTGGTTTAACACATATCTTGTTTTATTTTGTACTGCAGAAGTGTAGTCGAGCGAGTGTACGAAATTCCATAGTTTGAATTATTTACGTACTTATTTCTTCGAGCTTCGATGAAATTTGTATGAGATTGATTAAGGTTGACTATTTTACAATTTTTTTTTATAATAAAGCAATTTGATAATTCTAAAACTGCAGCTTTACCTTCACTCTCCATTAATTGGAGATACGTACAAAATCGTTAAATACCTACTATAATTGTAATATTATGTTATATAATATATAAATGTAATTGATCATTTTTGCAATATGTATTGAACATTTGACCGACTACACTACCGAATCTCGAAAGCACGCAATTTTTAACGAGATTCGCTTTTCGACGTGATATACATGCCTACGTATTTCTGGATAAGTATGGATCGGTCAACACAAAACCGAGCGTAAAACTCTTAATGCGTCTAACCAGTGATTTTTTTATTTTACTCCTAGGTTTAATAGAGCCACTTTTCAAATTAAGAAATTTTGATGTTAAGGTTTTAAAATAATTATTTTTTTCTGCTGACAACACAAAACAAAAATTGATAAAAATTTTGTTCTACTGCTATTGTTATTATTACTATTACTTTTTAAAATTTTTCATTTATAATAATTTTGACTGAACTTGGACTTGAATCCAAGGTCATGCAATAAATTAAACAAAACATAAAAGTTTACAACAGGAATACAGAACTCAGTGGAAATTGCATATGGCCAGAGGCTAGACGCCATAGTGCCAAAATATAAGAAAAAAATCCAGAGTTTCAAAATGGCCACCGTAAAGACAGAACGATTTCCCGCGAAATAAAATCACTACAAAATAAAACTATAGCATTGAAAAAACATATTACAATCTAAGATCTAGCAGTATGGCCAATTAGATGCCTTAGCCTGTCCCGAAGGACAAATTTTTTTATTTTAAACTACTACTTCTATCATAGACGCCTAGTACAGAATCAAAAAGGTACCTGTCAAATTTTAAGCGCGTCTACAACCACTAAAAAGGCAAGAAACTGAAGACTTAATTTATTGATTTAATAAGGATCATTTTTACGCTCGATTTTTCGCTGACAGTAAATAGAAACATGTTGATTTCGCTTAAAATATAATGAATTTATAGAATATTATAATATTATTCTGTTCTTATTCAGAAATACGCTAAAAAGAGTGACAGGATACTAACTCGCTCCCATGCTCATTTCATGTTTATTTAAATCATTAATTATACGATTTTTCAACATTAACTTTTGTAGAACATCTGTGAATACACACCGAACATATGTAGGTATTTAAATAAAATTTCATTACAAAAACCTTTTCTACGTCTTGAAGTAAAGAACCATAATTCTTTGATGTTATATAATCGATAAAAGTTTATAAGAGAAATTAACATTTAAAATGATTTTTTTCTAAACTATGTAAAGTGTGTTAGTATACTTAACATGTGACATTAATACCAAAATAGTGCCATGGCGTACAACTAATTAGTTACAACTCAGTACTTCAACTTGGGTATATTTGCCTGTATTATCCTAGTATGAACCTTTCTTGATGTGTTCCAAGTCGTTTAGCGAGGTAAAATTGTAAATGTTCATTTACGATTTGAAAGCTTTGACCGGACAGTACCGTTGTCGATTCGCACTTTTTGTTTAATGCCGTCCAGTGTAGCATTTTGCCACAGCGGAGTTTCATATGAGAGTTCGTCCAGGGAAGTACTGCTATCTTGCCTATTTCTGCCGCCAAGCAGTAATCTAAGCGTTACTCCGTTTCGGTTTTGAAGGGTAAGGCTGCTGGTGAAACTACAGGCACATGAGACTTGTCAACTTACGTCTCAGAGTGACGAGCGCAGCGGTTAGTGCCCCTCAGATCTATGCGACTGAAAGAAGCACTGCAATTGTTATGGATAGGCGTGTCGCTTACCAACAGACCCACGACCTATTCGTGCCTACATTTGAAATTGAAAAAAAAAGGGTTTCTTTTCGTATTGGCGTCACATGTAGTTAATATCATCACAAGGGAGCGAGTGTAGGCTAGGATTGATCTGAGAGAGTGACTGCATTATGGAGGTTGTAAGTAGCTACCGCGTTCCGTGAGATAATAAATTAATATTTTGTTTGTACAATTGTCTTTTAATTTCTCCTGTTCTCTTTTGTATCCCTATACATTCCAGGACACATAATTCTAGCCACCTTGCATTTTAAATATCATATGCCCTAAGCTTAATAAAATGTTTGAATGACCAAGAACTATTATGCAATTTTGAAACGGATGTAAACGTCATTTACATATTATATCCTTTTTTAAACAGAAAACCACCGTGAGACTCGGACATATTAATTAAACTAATAGATAACTCACCAATTCGTGGTTCCGCTGAAGATACAGCATCAAGACGATTTTCCACCCTCACGATGCAGCTTCTAAGCTGTCTACAGTTGGTGCGTTCACCGAAGGATAAAGAGCCCCCTTCAAGGAGTTCCCGGGGTATATAAGATTCCCTGCTCTGCTAAACCGGGACGCTCTGCAGTGACGGAACACTCATTGGACGCACTATATTCGTTTTGATAAAGTGTGCACTGGCGAGAGAAAAGCATTCCGCGGAAGGTACGTGAAGCTATAGAGATTGGTCGTCATTCGATTGAATCCGTCTTCTTGAGAATCCGTCCTATTGAGAATCTGTCCTTATGAGAATAATGGGATTAATCGTGATAGTGGATGCTCGGTACCCCTCGGCTGGAAAACAGCGTTAGGTACTACGTCAATGGTTAAATGTAGACAAGACTTTATAAAATGTCGTTAGTGTAATGTGCAATCTTGCGTATGACTTTTAATAAAAATGAATCAAACGAGGGTAGTCTCTAGCCGACGCCGCCGGCGCCCGCAGATGTCCTGTGATCGGGCCATGGCTTTGGCACGTAATTTCCGTCGAGTCACCGCCGCGGAATCTCATGATTAAGGCCACGAATTGGTTCGGAACATGTCGAGCAAAAATTTGACTACGTACGTTAGTCATCCATTCTTTAATTAATATATTATGTCTATGATATATGTGGGTAGAAAACGTAAGTTATGATAAAATGTAAAGTAGCAAGTAAAAGTTTGTCTGGTGATTAAACACAGTACCGAACGGACGTGTTTTAGTTGTACTCTGTATTAGGACTCCACCTGGTTCCCTAGACAGATATTTTTCAGTGGCGACGAACAGAGTTCACGCGTGTACATTAAAGAGCAGCCAAGTGTTGTGTAAAACCATTAAAATGGCAGTGGGAAAGATTGGATCCTTTGACATTGTCAAGGACAATTGGGAAATGTATGTGGACCGTTTAGAGCAATATTTCATTGCGAACTCGGTTAAAAATGAGGTGCAAGTGGCCACGTTAATTACGGTAATCGGCAGCGAGGCTTATGAACTAATGGTGAGCTTGTGTACACCCGCGAAACCAGCGACCAAAACGTATTCGGAGCTTGTGACGGCGATGAAAGAACATTTAAATCCGAAACAGAGTTTATTAGCTGAACGTTTTAAGTTTAGGCGGCACAGGCGGTGGCGGTGGCCCAAGCGCAACGAACGGAGCGGGTAGCGGAAAGTTTCGCAGTGGCAGGTGGAATAATAACACGCATTCTAAACCGGAATGTAAAGTGTGTGGAGGTCTACATGAGTTCCAGACATGCAAATTTAAAATATATGTGTGTGGGCTATGTCATCAGGAAGGGCACTTGAAAAGAATGTGTCTTAAATTGAGGGTCAAGTCGTCGCTGTACCACATGGCGGAGAAAAAACGTGTGTTTATGGAAGACGCCGATAGTACCGGCAGTGAGGAGGTAAACAACTTTTCTTTAAATACGAATCCGTCAAATATTTTTGTACCATACAACGTAGATGTTTTCATCGACTGCGTATTATTGAACATGGAGGTAGATACAGGTAGTGCGATTTTTTGCATCAGTTTAGAATGCTATAAAAATTTATTTACGCATTGTATGTTACAAAATAGCAACTTAGTATTGGGCTATTATACGGGTGAAATTGTAAAACCAATAGGAAAAATAACACCTACAGTTCAATACCAAAATATATGTAAAAAATTAGATTTCTACATAATTGAAAGTGGAAAAACTTGTTTGTTAGGTAGATGATGGATTAATGAGTTAAAAATAAATATCTCCATGTTGACGTGTCATAAAATTTAAATATAGATGTGGATTCAGCGAGACGGCATTCAGTTCCAGATACTGTGAAGTGTTTGCGGATGGCTTGGGCCGGTTCACCGTGGGGAAGGTCGGATTCTGCTTGCGCCCGGGTGCGCGGCCGCGATTTCTGCGCGCGCGTCCACTGGCCGCGCGCTGGCGCAGATGGTGGGCAACGGTATCCTGACACCGGTCACCACCTCCTACTGGGCCACGCCGATTGTGCCGGTTATTACGAAAGACGGCACCATAAGTGTATCTATGTGTCTAGGTAGGTGGATCACTATCCTTTACCAAAGGTTGAAGACCTACTCACTAAGTTACATGGGGGAGACAAATTTACGAAACTAAATTTATCACAAGCTTACGCACAATTTGAATTGGACGATTCAAAAAAATACGCGGTGATAAACACACATAAAGGTTTTTTCATGTACAATAGGCCAATTTATGGACTAGCGTCGAGCCCTGGCATTTTCCAAAGAAAACTTGAACAGCTGTTTGCGGACATGCCTCGAGTGGGGGTATTTTTAGACGATTTGATTATTACTGGAGTAGACGACCGGTCATATATAAATACGTTACATGAAGTTATCGACAGATTACGAAAATATGGTTTAAGAATAAAAAAGGACAAATGTACTTTTTTGCGGATTTCGTAACGTATTTAGGGTTCGTTATTAGTAAACAAGGCGTACATACGTGCCCGGATAAAATCAAAGCAATAAAAAAGGTAGCAGCACCGTAGAATGTATCCGAGTTGCGATCTTTCCTGAGACTAGTGATGTATTATGCGAAATTCGTACCCGTTTGCCATTGCTACGGAAGAATGTGAAGTATGAATGGAGAATTTCATCAATATCTGTATGGTAGGAAATTTATATTGCGCACAGACCACAAACCGTTAGTCACCATTTTCGGGGATAAGACCGGAATTCCAGTAATGGCTGAAAGTAGGATGCAGAGGTGGGCTGTAATTTTAGCGGGCTATGATACTAGTATCGAGTATGTGCGCAACGAAAATAAAGCCGCGGATGCATTGTCACAATTACGGGTAAGAAAAGAGAATGCAAAGAATCGACTGAGTTGAATTTTATTCATATTTCCTTCCCGTCACGAGAAAATCTGTTCTGGATTATACTGGTAAAGATGACGCGCTAAAAAAGGTGTACTTATATTTACAGTCCGGATGGCCAACAGTTTGTAATGAGGAAACGTTAAAACCATATTTCACGAGGCGTAACGAATTTTATATAGAAATGGGCTGTATTATGTGCGGTTATCGATTAGTAATACTGAGTGCTTTAAGGGAAAATTTATTGAAAGAATTGCATGTGGATGACCCACATGGGCATTAAGCATTGTTAAAATGAAAAGTATTGCCCGAAGCATGATGTGGTGGCCTGGACCAGATAGCGATATCGAAAGGTGGTGCAAACAGTGCAAGACGTGCGCGCTAGAGGGCGCGACGCCCCCTCGTATTCCGCCGCAATCGTGGAAGCACGTCGTCAAGCCATGATCACCATTACATATCGATTTTTAGGGCCATTGCACGGTAAAACATTTTTAATACTTATAGATTCTACCACCAAATGGTTAGAGATATTCAAAATGCAACGAACAACAGCCGACGCAGTCATTAAAGTACTCCGCGAAACATTTGCTCGGTTTAGTTTGCCAATGGAAGTCGTATCCGACAACGGACCACCGTTTACTAGTAGGGAATATGGCGACTTTATGACAACAAACGGAATTAAAGTGACGTTTACAGCAGCGTATCACTCATCGTCCAATGACGCCGCGGAGAATGCCGTTAATCTGTGCAAACGGGCGATAAAGAAGTCGCGAAGAGACGGCTGCGACGTAGATGCAGCTCTTCAGGCATATCTGATGTTGTATAGGAACGTAGAACACTGCTCCACGGGAGCGTCACCTGCCATGCTGTTGCAACTTAGGAGTTTAAAGTCAAGATTAGACTGGCTGAGGGAAGATAGGCAGGTAGAAGCTAGGGTACAGGATGCTCAGCGTAAGCAAGTCTCTCATGCGGGTGGCTCGCCTAGGAATTTCAATGTAGGAGACACCGTGTGGGCCCGGGATTTTACAGGAAGGAGATGGTTCGGGGGACGGATTGAGGAAAAAGAGGCTCTCGGAACTTTGTGATTGGTAGGGAGAGTGGTCCACCTGTAAAAAGACATGTCGATCAAATTAGGAAAAGACATAGTAGCTACGGCGTAACCTTGGCGGAAGAGGTTGACATATCACCTGACGAGGTGATTAGCACTCGGGACTCCATACCAGGCTCTGATACTGTTGAGGTATCGGCTACCGAGGAGCCACGCGTGTCGCCGCGCTCGGTGGCCCCTGAACCAGGCGATACCATATGTACGGATGCTCACAAAGAATTGCCTCAAACGTCCACAGCCCTCAACAAGGAGGTTGTATCTTCATCCCCGATGAACCCGGTTTCGAAAACCAGTTAAGAGATATGATGTAGAATTTGATTAAGTTACTAAGGATGTTATATTATTTAAGTGGTTCACCTTATTTAAATGTTAATGAGTGTTTTAAGTATACCTAGTGATGATTGAAACTGTAATTAACCTTAGTGTAGTAGTAATTAAGGGTGGAGGTGGAATATATGTGGGTAGAAAACGTAAGTTATGATAAAATGTAAGGTAGGAAGTAAGTTTGTCTGGTGATTAAACACAGTGCCGAAAGGACGTGTTTTATTTGTGCTTTGTATTAGGACTCCACCTGGTTCCTTAAACAGATATTTTTCAATGTCGTTATTGAAAATTTGTTTTTGTAAAACCGGGGTAACTTTTTCTTCGATGATAAGTAAATATTAAGTTTATTTCAGACTTCGTCTCTCCCCGTCTCCGTCCTTCGCCCGGTTTTATATCTAAATGGCACTGATCGATAGTCTAGAAGTAGTTTATAGTATGTAAATGGCAGTGGAAATCAAATAATTCCTTTAATATAAAATACAGGCACCTAGTCAGTTTTTTCCTTGTAATATTATTCAAATATTGACCATGAGCCAAAATTATTTTCTGAACTTCAACAAATATGCGTTTCAATAGATCAGCTGCCCCGGAGCAAAACTGGTAAGGGCCAAATTTTTTGAAAATCATTTTTTAACAGAATCATATTCCCTGAGGAATTACTCGCCAATCTGCAGTGACAGTCCGAGGTGCCAGGTCGGGACTGTACGCGGGATGACTCATAAGGTCAACGTTGTTCACCTTCAAAAATTCATTTGTCTGTCTGGCCGTGTGAGAACTGGTATTATCGTGGTGCAAGATGATACGGCGTTTACGGTTATTTTTACGGAGCTTGTCAACAACTTCCGGCAAACAAATGATCGTGTACCAACCACTATTCACGGTACGACTCTCCAAAGCATCAGTAGCCACGTGTCCAGTTTTATTAAAAAATGAAGCAATCATCCGCTTAGAGGCACTTTGCACGGGCGCCACTTTGGTTGGTTTCGGCTCATCTCGAAAGACCGATACGCTCGATTGCTGCTTTGTTTTGGAATCGTAACTATAAATCCATGTTTTGTCACCTGTTACTATGTCCCACAAAAAATTTGACGCCTCTTCGTTGAATTTGGTAAGCATGACATTGCACCAAGTGACGCGATCCGTTTTTAAGCCTCAGTCAAATTGTGTGGGATCCACCGAGAGCACAGCTTTTTCACACCCAAATGTTTGTGTAGTATGGATTGTATTTGACCCATACCTATGCCTAAAAATGCCCGAATCTCATGGTATGTCACATGCCTGTCTGTTTTGATCATACGTCGCACAGCATCGATGTTTTTGTTGTTCACAGCAGTGGACGGGCGACTATAACGAAATTCGTCACTGAGATTCACACGACCGCGTTTGAATTCTGCAAACCGGCTATAAATAGTCGTCTTGCATGGTGCTTCATCGCCAAAAGCAGTTTGAAGCCGAGCGAAGCTCCGTTGAGCTGTTAAATCACAGTTAAAGTCGTAGAAAATCATACTACGAAAATTTTCACGAGTTAAATCCATGGTGATGTAGACAATCAATTTCTAAAATGACGCCACAATGTAAAAACAAGTGACAGTCAGAGAAACGAACTGTATTCTACAGCCAAAGAGTTCCATTTTCAAATGTTGTAATTACTTTTTATTGTTTATGTAAGTGGCCAGTTTCCGAAAATGTTTGGTGCACCCTATGTAAGCTCCATCTAGTTGATTTGTTCGTTATCACTGATCATCATTACATACTCAATCATCATTATAAACATCCCAAAAAAAAATGGAAGAAGTACTTAATGACTTTACGCAAAACCAAATAAGGGTCCAGACACACTTAAAGACTGCCACACACGGTTGGTGGGGAAAAGCATGACCAGCAGAGGATGTTGTTCGCTTCAACGTTGCAAACGCGAACCGCTAAACTTATTTTTTTGTATATACAAACTAAAAATCCTTGTCCTTAATAACAGTACAAATTTCATTGTTTTATCCACTTGCTGATCCCACAACAAGGGGAATCTCAGTTACTAGAGTTCAAAATGCCATGACCGAATTCCAAAGCAAAATCATTTATTCTTAACAAGAAACAGTTATAAAAACTTTAGAACATACATAATAGACACTTGATTTCATATATCACAATGGGAATTCAATATTAACCAAATAAGTACCATCGACTAAATTCGAGAACTAGAATTATGCTCAAATTTTTCTATCCTTGATTTTATGACTCATGGGCCTCCACGGATCTTGTGACACAGTATACTATTTTATAAAAACATTTATTTCTCTTATCATTAATAGCCGTATCCAAATACGTAAGTAATTTGAAGCAAACATCGCCTTAATAACAATTAAGTCGTCAGATAACATGAATATAAGTAATAATAATAACATCAACACAGTACTCGAGATTTTATATCATCTAAAATACCTTTTGACTTTGATTTAAAAGAAATGTAACTTGCTAGTGTAAGTAAGGTCCCACGTCGCGTGGCATCGTTCTGCATTCATTATTTTCATTCGTTATTTATGTTTTCATAGACAATGATCACTTTTTAATGTAAAATTTGTAAGTGTTTAAGTTATTGGCAACCAGTGTTGTACATTAGGAGTGAGAAAGGTTATAAAAGCGACGACGAAATGGAGCACGCGCGCATTTTACTTTTAGGTATTTGTAGATTCACACTTCCGACTCTTACTTGTGTTGTAAAAATAATTATAAAAACAAATTACAACTATTAGAGCTGTTACACAGGGCGACTTAGCAGCGATGCAAACGAGATACAAACGCGATACAGTAGCGATGCTGTCGCTAATCGTCTACCTTTCTACACGCGCGCGATTTTAAGCAGCGATGCAAGCGCGCAACTGCATCGATAGAAACGCGCGATTGCATCGCTACACTTGGGATTTATAAGCGTTTTCATCGACGCAATCGCCTATAAATCGCAAATGCAGCGATGCAATCGCGTTTCACGAACGCGCGTTTGCATCGCTGCTAAATGTCGCCGTGTGTAACCACTCTCAGTATTGCTCATTTCTAGTTTCATTTATACCAACAATTCCTTCTTAAATATTTTAAAATACAACACTCGGTAATGGAAGCAATTTGCATTTTGATAGAAAATTATATCTGCATCACAACACGAACTGTTAGAATTGAATCAGGTACGATATGTTCTTTTTCTTCTAATTTAAGAGCTTACTTAGGTTCTCGTCGGTGGAGTAACCTCCTATCATCTCTGTTCGGCAATTAACTTTGCGTTTTCTGATACGACACGACGTTAACTTCTTCCCTTAGGGCTCTTACACATAAATGCAATACGACGTCGCGTCGTGCTATGACGCGGCATCGTTTCACGATGCGACTTCGTATCGTGGAAATCTACGACGAGCAACGTCAAAGTTCACGACACGACATCGCAACGTGTCACGACGCAAGGCTCGACGTCGTATCGTAGAAACTCACGGTGCTCTTCCCAGTGTTTCATTTCATTCATTTGTTATTCAATATTCACAGACGACAGGTTGATTATTCAATAACCCTAGTCGAAGAGCGTGCTGTACTATGGGACAAAACATCAGAAGAACACAAAGTCATCTTTGAATATTGAAACAAAATTAAGCCGGAAAGACAATTTCACAGCCATTGACCTAGGTCAATGCTCACAGCTTTTCGTGATTAGCCTGCTGTTAGCTATAGATGGAATAACAAAAACAACTAAATACAATAAACTTAAATATGTAACAAAAAATACTAAAAAAAATTCCTAACTAAGCCAGTATACGCAACACATTTGAGTCCTTAGCAATAAGAGCCACATCACACAAGCGATATTTAAACAGTCGTAATTACCTCTACATACGACACAGTAATTAATACAAACATACAGCGAGTTGCGAAAAAGATCTTTAAATGCAATCATTGCCTATACCTTTGCTGTATCAAAGCACAACTAGCGATAATATAAGACGACGATAGGGTAACTTCCGCTAGTTCGGCGCGCTAATGCCTACAGCGTAGGGTTGTTACATAATTGAAGACTCAATCATCAGCGCAAAATTGGTATAACCACATAATTTTTTTTTCACAATATTATTTTAATATACTACTACAATACTACATAATTATTTTATATTTGCATGCAATATGCATGTATTAAAAAATATTAACATTTTTTTGTATTTATAAAAACACAAGATAATTAATAAATTAATTTAAAATAATTTTATTTTTTATTTTATTTATAACATTAGCTTATAATAAGTAAAAAAATACACAAAGCGGTGTCGCATAAACCTATTAAAGATTTTTCTGTACACCGCTGCATATCATATTGCCAATAATAAACACAAAAATAGGCTAGGTAAGAATATATTCCGCTCCCTCCGACCCAACTGACCGGACGCATTCGTCGCTAGGATGATTGATTTTTTGTCAAAGTGTGATGAAACCATTCTTTCTGTCGTAAATGTTATACGGTGTGTTTAATTTTCAAAATAGTAAATTAGTCTGTTTACAAGTTAGTTAGTTAAGTGTAAAATAAGTTAGGATTAGGACACTCAGCCTTTATAGTAATGTATGCAAGTTTTTTTTTATTACACATTAGTATCATTTAAAGGAATATTGTAGAAAAAATAATTAAATGTGGGTTATACCTCTTTTGCCCTGATAGCGTCAATTATTTTAGTTGTAAACACCCACAGGTTGCAAAACGTAATTTGAAAAAATTAAGTATTCATCACAGTATTTTCGTGCTATATTGAAATAACCTTTTGAAACGCAGCAGTTACATGTTGATATTTTTATAAGAGTATCGCGGATTTCGATTATGGAAGGATGATCATGTAATAGATAGAGAGGACATATATAACGGTACATTCATAAAAAAAAAGATATATACATTTGACGTAGAAAAATTGTAAATTTAATGAATTAATGAATGATGCATTGGACGACCCACGCTATGTAACGCGAGTTCACCGCGATTATGCGAATGCGTGAGCCTCTACACGGAGCGCGGCGAGTGTGCACACATGCAAGCCACACTGTCACGTTTGTGTGGAGTTACACTACTTGTCTTATTATACTATGATATTACTTAACGAAACAGCATAGATAATATACCTTTATGCAATTGAGCGATATGCTTCTAAGTCTAAATTTCGAGGTTATTCGAGTTAAGCTTAAAGGCCTCAATATAAGGCGCTTTTTCGTTAAAAGTGACATTCTGTAATATAAACGATTGGTCACACTCGTCGCTATCGTTCGCTCTACGCTGCACACTTAAATTTCCCTTGTGTGATATGGATGCAACAGCCAATGAGTTAAGTAGTGTTACATAGGCGCAGTGTGGTATAGCCTTCCCGTAACAAGCGCCTTTACTACAGATCCCGTAGGTAGAGACTGAACATCATCAGTAGCTGCAGGAAGTTCTAGTAACACCGCAGCGCCGCATGCGCTGAGAAGGCGGCTGCTGCACTGCAAGGACAATTTGACGAATTTAATATCCAAACTTTAATACTCATCTAGTCTAGTCTAATGGTCATAGTCTACATGTAGGTTAGCAATTTTTATTTTTATACTAGCCCCTTTTTAAAGGAGCCCATGTCTAGAAGTGAGACGTAAGAACGGCAGCACATCAATCTACACATTCGACGGATCTTGTTCCGTTGCTCTGGAGGCGATATACGAACAAAAGTGTATAATGTGTGTGTGTTGAATGCTGTCGACTGTACGTGTGTTGATATATCTTGAAACTTCCCCTGTATTTTTAGTGACCTTGTTTGAAATGTCATGTAAAGTAATTTTTTTGTTAATTTACAAGGAACAGTACATAATCGCTAAGAATAATTCTGGGTTTTATCATTTAGTCACTGCATGGGGTAATTAATTCAATAAAAAAAGGATAAGTTAATTCTCCAAATTGGTCCTACCGAGAATCGAATCCGGGACCTCCTCATCCAAAGCCCACAGTACAGACCATGGAAGAAAAAAAAGAAAGAAAATGCCTTAAGTTTCGGTTCCCATCAGAACCGATGTCGCCAAAATTCACACATTCATAATTTGAAATCTTGATAATGATTGGTCGTAATCTCTAATTTAAAAGGAAGTAACAAATTATGGACTGTTAAAATAATTAAAACTTTATCCTGTTGGTATATCGTTCAAGTTCAAAATCTATTATTGCAAGTAATGAAGATTTAATTTTATATTGAAATTTCAATCAATGTGCTGCCATCTAGCTGTCCACAGCTAAAAAAAAAGAATCGAGATGTTTACTAAGTTCTCCAAAAAAGAAGCGACCATATTTCAGCAGTATAAGGTTTACTTTCGTTCCTTGTAATAAAAAAGAACAATTATACGAAACACCACTATGGATAATAATAGGGGTTAAAGTATGAAATTGCCGATTTGTACTGAAAATCTAAATTGTTTATTTTTTAAATTTTTAACAAATTTATTTAATCAAAATAGTTGCCATTATTATCTATACATTGCTGCCATCTAATGGGAAGGTTATTAATGCCTTTGCGATAGAACTCCGACGATCTAGACTGCACAAACTGTGTGAAAGCATTTTGTACTGCCTCCTGGGAAGAAAACTTCTTGTCACGTAGATAATTGTCCAAATCACGAAAAAAATGGTAGTCCGTTGGAGCAAGGTCTGGTGAATACGGAGGATGACGAATGGTTTCTAACTGCAGTTCCTGAAGGGTCAAAATGGTTTCTCGTGCTGTGTGAGGTCTCGCGTTGTCGTGGAGCAATAATGGTGAAGATCGATTCATGAGTCGGGGCTGTTTTACTGCTAGTTTTGTCAACATGGTTCGGAGTTCGGCACAATAGACATCTGCCGTTATTGCTTGACCAGATCGGAGAAAACTATAGTGAATAACACCATGCTGAGACCACCAAACAGTTACCATTACCTTTTTATTGGTAAGTTTTGCTTTAGGACACTGTTGTGGCATTTGACCTGGGGTCAGCCATTGCATTTTTCTTTTCCGGTTATCATAAAGAATCCACTTTTCATCACATGTTACAATTCGATCCAATATTCCTTCATTTCTGTACCGGTTCAACAAGGCAACACAAGTTTCAACACGCGTTTCTTTCTGCAGATCAGTCAAATCATGAGGCACCCATTTTTCGTATTTTTTTATTTTATTGATTTGACGCAAGTGAGTCAATATTGTGGGTAAGGTAACGTTAAACCATGCCGCTAATTCCTGGGTAGTTTGACTAGGATCGGCTTCCACTATCTCTCTTAATTCATCGTTATTCACCTGTGTGGGCGGTCTTCCTCGTGGCTCGTTCTTTAAGTCGAAATTTCCATCACGAAAGCGTTTAAACCAAAATCGCACGGTGCGTTCATTAGTAGACCCCTCTCCAAACGCAGCATTGATATTGCGGGCTGTTTCTGCCGCGTTAGTTCCGCGTCGGAACTCGTATTCAAAAATCACTCGAATTTTCGCAGTATCCATCTTTCTTGTCTAAATTGAATAACAAAAACAATTGAAAGTCGATATTCAAATGTTTCAAATTTAAAAAAAAAAGAAAATCACAGAAACCATTGGAAAAAAGTTTCATTCGAAAACCTCAAACCATGAAGATTCTATGAAAATTCAAAGAATCTATTGCAATAAAACGGCAATTTCATACTTTAACCCCTAATATTACAAGTGCGACTATCTTTTTTACAC